TTTAGTTTCAATGTATGATTCGGGTTATTTCGCTAGATATTGGACTTTTTCTAAAAATCGTAACAACTAGCCCCGGTTTCCCCTAATACTTAAGTTGATATTCAAATGATACCCGCGGTGGATAAGGCACTGATAACCTATTGAGTATCTTGGCGATTAGCAACAAAAACAAACAAATGATAACTGACATTTATTGCGTAAATTCACTCAACTTCCTTCTCAATAATCTTTCACTTTTACGTAGCAATTGATCGAAACCGGTTTAAATGTTAGCTTGATAAACGTATGACTGATTTTAATACTTTCTACCACTAGAGAGACTAGGAGATTACTGACATAAGTTAAAACTTACAAAAAACTGTTAGTTTCCATTTGTCTTCTATGTTGCTTTCTGGAATTTTTGGATTGTTCGACATGCAAGTTAATGTCTTTCCGTTGTCTTCTCTAGCTGGAAGTAGCATCAATTCACTGATTGCAATACTTTGGTTTATAGAGTATACTTGTATGCTGCCTGATATTGGATGGTTATCTTTCCTCCACGTGATTTGTGCAGGTGGTCGGGACCCACTCGATTCACAGATGACCTTTACTTCTATACCAGCTGACAGAGGGTGTCTGAAAGAAGTTATTCGTACGTCTACCGGCTTCACTAGGCAGAGAGAAATAATTTACACTTGTTACTTTCAATATTCATTGATGTTTTTTTTTTTCACATTTGAATTGTTGACTATAAACTAACCTCATCGTGCACTGGTAGACAAAACCAGAAATATCAAAAGATTGAGCTAAAAATATAGCAAAAACTCCTAAGTGTGAAAATAACGTAAGAAATGAAAGTATGCAAAATACGAAAGTCTAGTTGTCGTATATAAAATGTTTTTTTTTGTGTGTTTTTTAAGTTGTCTAATTTTGAGTCATTAAAGGCTTTGGCACTAAGGTATTTTATATCTTATTCACTAGAAGATAGCTTTAGTATTGTAAACAGACTCTCAGAAAATATAATAATACAGAGAAAAATAGTACATGCATTTTTTTTTCTCTGAATACTTTTATTGATTTTTATTTTTATTTTTTGGAATCGGCACATTTTTGACCAGCATTCTCAGATACGCGATATTTTCTGCCAATTTCCAAAAAGCAAAAAAGAAATTGAACAGAAAAGTGAATAAAATTGATGTTGTGTGTTCTTTTGTTAGAAGTTTATGTGTAGCTGACAATAATATAATATTTCACAATATTCAACATAAAAACAGAAATTACAGTGTTACAGCCTAACTTATATTGATATTATTTCATTAAAGTATTCCAGCGGTGTTAGAGTCAACCGACTGACAATAATATAATATTTCACGATATTTAACATAAAAACAGTAAATGACTAGTATGTACATAAATACAGTGTTACAGCCTAACTTATATTAATATTATTTCATTAAAGTATTGTAGCAGTGTTAGAGTCAACCGACTGACAATAATATAATATTTCACAATAGTTAACATAAAAACAGTAAATGACTAGTATGTACATAAATACATTGTTACAGCCTAACTTATATTAATATTATTTCATTAAAGTATTGTAACAGTGTTAAAGTACCGACTGACAATAATATAATATTTCAGAATATTTCACGTAAAGTAACAGTAAATCCACAGTCTTTACATCAATATGTTGATATAGACTAACGTAAATTAATATAATTTCATTAAAGTATTGTTACGATAGCGGAAGTCACGCGACGCTGGAAGCGTGCGCGCTGGGGTTTCTAGAAGGATCATGACTGTTCCTAGCAACTGTAGTCTTTTCCAGGCGCCCTCTATTTTATTATATAAGCCCGGCAAACAATTGCAGATAGATATAGAGATAGATAATTGAGTCAAGCGAGCGGTAGTAACCGTAAGTAAAGTGCGTGAATTGTTGTGAATTATAGCGTGAGTTTAAGTGAAGTGACTGTGGAAATTCTGTGTATTGCAAAGTTGTATTGAGAAAGAATAAACTAGTTTTATTTAAGAAAGGACTTGTATCGCTGAAGTTCCTCGGGAAGAAGTTATACCGGAAATTAACAAACGACCAGAGACGCAACAGTATTGTAATAGTATTACAGTCAACCGACAACTCATGTGATAAGACTTTTCTATTTTACTACATTTCACTATTAAGCTACATTTTTCAAGGCAGTGTTTTGTTACGATAATCTAATAATTTTATCATCACGTCCTGAGGATAGCTATTAGGTAAAACACATATTACAAAGAAAACTCTACTAAACTTTAATATGCATTGATAAATACTAAAGACCATTGTATGAGCACTAAGCACAAAACGGTTAAATCTTATAGATATTTAACACTGAAAAGATGTGAATCTCAAATCTAACAATCTTTAAAACATACATTTATTTTAATGTACTCACAATATAAGTCTACGACGATGGTGGTGTTAAGAGGGCTAGTAATGTTTGAATTATTTGCAACACAACTGAGCATGCTCAACAGATCGTCTCTGTCAAGACTAGAAATAGATAATACATTGTGGACGACACCAGGCGACGGTTCTGTGTAATCATCATTTATTAGTTTCCCATTTTTCCACCAGGTTACTGAAGGTGTTGGTTTACCTGCAAGATTGCAATATATATACACACATATCATATATTAAATTATTTAGATGCTTGTCTTCGAAAAACAGAATCCCTTAAATGTTGCTTTTTTGTTCTTTACAATTATGTTTCTTTAAAGACAAATGAAGTTTGTAAAGAAACTTACTGAAGTGTAAGATTGCAAAACTTACCTTTTTGTGTGTGTTTGCAGTTATTTGCCGGATGATAACCTGATATACTATGGATCGAAACACTGTAAATTCTAAAATCAGAACTTACTTATTCTTAAAGTTACTGTTGTTGCATTTTTTACACTTTGTTTTATTACTGTAGGTATATCTATCTTCACTCAGCATCTAATACCGAAAGTTCACTATGGACTGGTGTTTTTTGTTTGTGTTTTTTCGTTTTCGTTACCTTCCCTTTATCAATGTTGTTGGACAATCCAAGGAGCTGTTTGTCTAGCGCGCACCTGCGTCTGTGTACAACTATTCTAGCGAGTAAGTAGGTGTCAGAATAAGCATGTATAGGAGGCCAGGTGAAGTATTGTGGTAAGCTTTGGACTTGTCTAAGAAAGAAGTACGTTTGAAATTAACGAGTGTATTTTTTTCAAAAGTTTTGAGTTTTTGCTACTTCTGTTTTGATTAAACTTAATACAATCCCTGATGTTCTATATTCTCACTTAATGTCACTTCAATCAACACAGCAAGGTTAAAGTGACAAACTTTCACTGATGTTCCCGAGATTCTGTCTTGTAGCTGTTCTGTTGTATGTACCTGTTAAATAGTTGGACTGATTATAACTGAAATTTTCCACACCTGCCGGAAACAGTTGAAAACAAAATTACGTTATAGGTACATTTGATATAAAAGAATTAAACATATGTGTACCGAATGACTAATTTTTCGTTTTAGCACGTTAATTTTCTTTACACTTTCAGACCCATTTCTCATTTTCACACTAATGCTAATTTATATTTACTTATTAGAAAAAATAAAAACTGTCTGAGCGTATTTGTGTGCTCTAAAGAAAATTAGAGCATCTTCATTCTTAGATGAATAATTTGATCCAAGTAACATGTTAACTCTAAAAAAAGACTAGTAATAAACCAGATGCATATAACCTACTTATCTAATAATGCTAAGGATTGGCACAGATTGATTCAAACAATATTCTCACTTAATGTCACTTCAATCAACACAGCAAGGTTAAAGTGACAAACTTTCCCTGATGTTCCATATTCTCACTTAATGTCACTTCAATCAACACAGCAAGGTTAAAGTGACAAACTTTACACCAGCAGAGGATTTTCAATGATCCTACAAAGAATTTGGTACCTTTTATAAAACTAATCATTCTCCTGTACATGGGTAAAATAGCCAGCATTCACACATCACTGGTATTCTTGGAACATCTAAGAATACTTAATGAGCTGTATAACCTTTATCGGATCCTCTAAAGAGATATAAGACTAATCATTCTCCTGTACATGGGTAAAATAGCCAGCATTCACACATCACTGGTATTCTTGGAACATCTAAGAATACTTAATGAGCTGTATAACCTTTATCGGATCCTCTACAGAGGCTTCGTTCGATACATAAAGATATATAATTGTATTATGAAACGCAGTAATCTCCGTTTAATATTTTTGAAGTATGAGAAAAAATGCCAGAATGTGTAATTACGTAAATTATAATACCTCCAGCAAGTGTGGTAAATGTAACCGTAAAATGATTTCATTTAGTTGTCACATGCGGTCTCTTGTGCATGAGACCATTCAAAGATATCAGGAATTTGATAGCAAAAACATCTATAACAAGAACTAAAAAAACGTTTGGTTCGTCCAATCATTAAAAAGTATGGTAAATCATCATTGCAACAATATCATTGTGACTTTATTGAATTAAATGAAGCCAGGTGTTAGTTAGCATCAGCTATAAGGACTGGATACGCAAGCCATATGTTATCCTTAATAGTACTAGACATCGTTTTGCTTTATGGAAATCCCAACAGCACCATAGCTTTATGATTTGCACTGTTTACGTGGGATGACGAACGTTTTTCTTTTCACTCAGTTTTAAAGTGATGCCCGAATATGGGCTAGAAGATGGCAGGCAAAATGTGATCGTATTATGCCAACTGTCAAGGATTATGAGGGATTTTGCTGCATTATGTGCTTTGCGCCTTTTGGGCGTGACATTTTTCAGTGAAGAGCATGCAAATAGTTATAGATCACAAGAAATCTTTAAGTCACGCTAGAGGCCTTGGCGTAGTTTTACGGTCAGCAAGCCAATGTCTTTCTCCAGTTGGATGACGTTCCCAAAACAAAATACCTGACTAAACAGTAATAATATCTTGGAAAGCTTCCCCCTAGAATCTAAATTTTAGCTGTATAGAACGTATTTCAGATAAGTCGAAGAGTTCATAATAAAACAGTGAATACAAACTGTATATGACAACTGTTTTTTAACTTCGAGCATGACTCACATAATAGCAGCAGCTATACAGAAAATAGGCTGTGCTACCTCGTATTAGGCGAGTGACCATTAATATCCCCTTCCTCTCCTCTAGAAACAAATTAACTGTTTTGTTTATGTAGATATATATATATATATCCAGAACTTCCTAATCATATATATATATATATATATATATACACACAAATCCCTAATCAGATATATATATGCACACGTCTTAACCTTAAATTGTGCAATTTCAGAGACCAAGCACTTTGAACGATTTAATTTCCTAAAGCCGGAAAATCCCAAAATAAATTCTGTTAACGAGAGTATATGAAAGCCGATCCATTGATGTTTTCGTGGAAATATTAAACTTACACAATATACAACTAATCTACCTCAGTCATGGATCAGTTGTATTACTTAGTATAAGTTAATATTACATTACAAGAAAGAAGAAACTTGAACGAGAAACAGATCGTTTTCACTTGATATATGTTTTAATTACCACCCAAAGCTTTCAATCAACATGCTTTACTGTTGAAATTCTTTATAAAGATTGAACGATAAAAAGAGTAATATACTATGCCAGAAAGCCAAACATACCCAAGCAGTTGACCATAACTTAAAGACGGTTATGTAAAAATTACAAATTACTGCTTTAAATATGAATAACTACCTACTCTTTTTTTATTAAAGTAACAGAAGAAATTATTTATAATGATCGTTTCTCTGTAACCATTTTCTTGGAAAGAGATATGTGAACTAAACGAACAGAACATTACTATTATGTGTTTTTTATGTATTCGTTTAATATGATCTCCACAAGATGCGTTAATGCAAACTTATCAATAAACCAACACGAATTAAAGCATCCACTTTGAACTTTGTGAATAATCTCAAGTGTATCAATTGTGCATCAAATAAAAATATAAAATATCGTTAAGCTGAGAAACTAAAGAACAGTTGATTGTTTTCACTTTAATTATCATCCTAAACGTGGTTTTATTGTGAGATTTATTTATAGAGATAGTTACGAATATATGAGCCAACATACTAAAGTGTCGTCCTGTCTTAATTAATTTGGGATATTCATATGATTACAAATATTTCGAATTTTCTAAACTGAAACCCATCTTTGTTTGTCAAAATCACACGGTCATAGCCATACGAGACGCTCTTTCAGTATAAAGACATTTTCAAATAAATATGAGCATGCCACAAAATTTTAGCTACTTGAAATACTCTTGTATAAGTTCAGAACTAGCTCACTTATCTTTAAGGCATTTGAACGTATATAATTGTAACCATGTGATAGTGTTTGTACCTGACAGAGTCAAAACCTTCTAGCCTTTTCTTACTTGAGATATAAAGTTTTAAGTGCAATACCTGAGGATCAATGATTCGAAAAGATCGCATGAACCAATTACTACAATACATCTGGAGACATTCAAGTCCTCACAAAGGCAGTTGTGTTCAATCTACTTTTCTTACCGCAAACATATGTATGCATGTCTGTTGACGTTATATGACGTGCAAAAACGACTGAAATGTCTTCTAATGAACTAATGAAATATTATTACAAAAAATTGTCGTGTAAATCGCTAGAATCAAAGAACTTGTAATGTATTTCTAAATTGTGCTGGGGACCAATGCGTAAATAGCTTAAGGTAGATCGTGACTAATCTGTGTAATCATTCATATATCAAATCATACATTGCTTCTTTCAATTTACATTTCGGGTTTATTTCTTGAACAATATCTCTTTCTATAATTATGTAAAAATGTAATTCCTATCTTCATACGGATTCTGACATAACCTTAATTCACTAGCCATAATATTTATGAGTAATTATTGTGAAACACAAATGCTTTTATGAAGGCAATACCCTCCTAACCAGAAGGCATGCATGTTTTTTTTCTAATTCTGATTTTATTATCTAAATTTCTTCTGAAATTTTAAGTTAATTAAACTATACTTATCTTACATCAACATTTTAGTAATAATCTTTAATAATCGTTATATGTATATATATTTGTTCCTTCATGATGGATAAGCCCCGATAACTTGCACAGACATTTTTAGTTACCGTCAAGCGATTAAAAAATAGCGGATTAAGCATAAACATAAATTTCTCACTAATTGATATTTTAGCTTTTTATTTTGATAATGATACATACAGAAGTTGGACAAATTAAAATGATAAAATTATTTTTCGTTTTTTTTAATTTCTCAAGCACATAAAGAAAATATACAGTAATCTTTTAGTTAATAGACATCAGGACCAATTTTTGAAATGGCTTATGGAGATTTTGTACGATCACCGTAGTCCAAGATTAAAACATGCAACAACTGAAAGTTTGAGCTTGTCGAATGAAAGATGATCGTAATGCTGCTTACCACCCTTGACTTCACAGAGAAGCTTGAGCTCAGATCCTTCGTCCAATGGACCTACAATTTTCTTAAGAGAATCTCCGTTGACACTGAAGATCGATATTTCCTTTGGGGGAACTATAACACAACAACACAGAACATTTAATAACATCATAAGCCCCGTTTTTCACAGCACGCGATGTCCGTTTAAACGAATACACAAGAACAGATGAACTGGGAAGAAAAACGTTACCAAACACGAAATAGTCTCCGACCAATATAAGATTTTAATGATTAAAAATCAGGTGCTAAGACTGAAAACAAAAGGTTTATCATACCAAACGTTTTTTTTTTTTTTTGTTGTTGTTGTTATTTACCTTCTGTCAAAGAGTAAATTTATTAATCAATGTTATAAAATGTCTATGTTCTTCTTTTGTGAACCCTTTTACAAACCTGAAAGCTGTTTATTTTACTCATAGTCATAAATATATTTTGATTTCTTGTATAATCAGTGTTTGCTTACACATTGCAGTGTATCACCTTAGCCTTTCTATTATCGAGTTATTTTTAAACCGTTGGGTTCACATATTGCATCATATCGAAGAATTTTATGTTTTTGCCTATTACAACACCCGGCATAAAGAACTGGCCAATAAAAGCTGAATGAATTTAATATCTAAAATACATAAAACGCCTCAACAGCTATTAATGGAATTCATTGCAATATTGATGCTATTCTCCTTTAAACGTGCGTTAGCCATATTTTTAAGGGACCAAAAGAAAATGATGCATAAATAGTTTACAAGAAATGGATTTAATAATGCGATAGGATCCATCGGTTCTTCTAGGATTAATAATTCGACAGGATCTATCGGTTCTTCCAGAAAAATATTTTATTCTCTAAATTATGTCTCTATGTTAATAGTTTTGTAATAAGTTACTCGTTGTGAAACTCAATTTCATGTTCTTAAGTTCAAGAATCGAAGTAATTAAAACATATTGTCATATCTAGATAATCACATTACTCGGTTCTACAGTGAGCTAATTTTACATATTTTTAATATAAAGATTGCACGCAATAATGAAAACGCAATTTTACACTTTAATGTAAGAAATATCTTCCAAAAGAGGTATTTTTACCTTCCTTGATATGAAAATGCTATTATTAGAAATATTTCCGTACACAACGAACCATTCAAATGCAACATTATGATATAAGTTATACAGTAAAATAAAAACATGTCAGTAACTCGGTATATAAATAAATGTAGCTACAGCATGATAGAAACGTGAATTATAAAAATGGGTAAAGTTGCTTAAACGAAAACAATTGGCCTATGTTTTAATTAAACAACTTCTACTATTAGGCCTTCTTTTACTTACTAATAATGTGTTATATTTCATGCCTAAATATACATATGTATTTCTGCAATTGTTTGCTTTGTGATCCAAATATTCAAAATTCCAGGCTATTTTGACTTCTTTAGATATATTTTAAAATTCGTTATATATTAGAAATAATTGCAATATTTGCTAAGATTTTACAACTAACGTGTACGACAGTTCACTCCTGAGTGTTATATACACACATAGAACTTTTCATGCTGTAAAGAGAAGTGTCGTGAATGGCCCACGTCGAACGGCTGCTACTGTTACAGATCAGGTGCGATTGGACCCACTATAATCAGAAGTTATGTTCATAGCAGGGTTTACAATGCCAGGGTGACTAGATAAAATATACTTCTCACTTCAGGTAATATTGTAGCCTCCCACCCACTATAATCAGAAGTTATATTCATAGCATGGTTTACAATGCCAGGGTGACTAGACAAAATATACTTCTCACTTCAGGTAATATTGTAGCCTCCCACCCACTATAATCAGAAGTTATGTTCATAGCATGGTTTACAATGCCAGGGTGACTAGATAAAATATACTTCTCACTTCAGGTAATATTGTAGCCTCCCCCCCCCCTCCAGTGACTAAGCAATTAAGGCTGAAGGCTTCTGATGCTAAAAACTGGGGTTTGATACCCGTGATGGGTACAGAACAGATAATTCATTGTGTAGCTTTGTGCTTAACTACATACAGGCAAACAGGGAACAATATCGTATATTGAGAGCATTGGGTAGGCGATAATGTTTCCGTTGAATTGTCTGCAAGTCACGACAAAAAGGTGCTATTTCTGTCACTGAGGGAGTTGCGGTTTGTGCAGGTGTACGATCATGGCTGGTGGTGTGAAAAGAGACTGTCACTGATGCTCAATATGTCACAATTCTCTAACTAGATCTTCTACCTTTGAGTTTACCATAGAAGGCAGTTTTCACGCAAGACGGCGCTGCTTCTCCAAAAACCACCAATCGCAAAACGTTAGGTTAAAGGCCATGGCATTAACATTCTCTAGAAAGTATCTCAAACAAACAACTTCTAACTTCTTCACCCGGAATTGGGTACAATCATACAGGTCCAAATTTCGACTATGTAAATATGATGCGTCACAGTGTTTTTCTTTACATATTCTAAAGAGCAGGCCCCTAAGTGCAAATTGTAATTGTATAGTCCTTGTTCTATATTTGTTTTTAACATAAAAAAGGCGTTCTTCCTGCAGTAAGCGTTCATTTACGTATTGGTAAGCTGTGTATATGAGGAAATAATTATCAAATCAACTACAAGTTTCAAAGTACAGGCTCAGTTAATTGTGTTGTAAATGATTGAGTAAGTTATAATATAACGAGTTTTGAGCCTCACCATGTCGTTACCGTCCATTTCGCCATGTCCGGTAATGCTCTATCAGACGGCTGTGAACCTTGACAATAGCCCTGCAGTATAGTTTCAATTGAAAAACTTCTGTCGTAAATATGTCACGTCCAAAGCCTTAGTGTTTTTCATTATCCATCTAGTGTATGAGGATAAAGATTTCCCAGCGCTAGTTTCAACAGTCCAATCGCAAAGAATTCCATAAGTCTTGCATCCAATGACTTGACCAGTATATGTTCATATGGAATAGCAAGGATATCCATTTAATTCTTCAGCTACTTGAGGTGTGCAAGAATTGAATTGGAGGTATGACTCGAAGCTTTATCTTGGTGAACAAACACCATACTTACTTCATTTATGGACGGAGATCCTTCTTGACTGTATTGTATACTGTTGCCTGGCGCACATGTATGACTTTGCACTCTTATCTTTGTTTGTGGATTCTCACCTGTTACAAAACATCGCATTTTGATTACCAGGCTGAGGTACGACTTGTCGCAGGTCCTTTTCTAGATTGTCCTTAGGGTCCCAGGTCGATTTATCTTTCTATATTTTCCAATATCATTAAGTACAAAGGATATCCCGTCTTTGAAATTCTAGGTCTACGAATGGAACACATCTTATTAATGATCTGAGCCTATGAATATTTTACTTCGGAAAGGGAGGTTACACGCTCTACTCAAAAGCAATAAAATTTCAGTAGTATTACAGTATTTATGTAACGCCGAAATATGTCAAAACGTAGTTCTGGTACAAGACGTTCTGCTATGTCCTTACATGTGACGTATCTTGTTCATTTGCAAATTCGAAATCATTTTAATATAAAGACATTTAACCCTACTTATACTGATTCAAGTGAAAAAAATTCGAATGCGAAAGTTCAGTTAAGATAAGGAGTTTACGTTATTTATGATAAAATATTCGTGTTATTAACACTAAATAAAAATAAGAACATTTCGTAATAGAAAAATGTCAGAATTACTCACAATAAACACAAAAGAATTAAATGTCAGCTTATACTGAAAATGATAGTTTTACATTTTAGAATGCTAAAACCGATACTAAAATGAGACAATATTAAATTAGTGACACAGTGCACACTTTTCGATAACAACATTTCAAATGCATTCAATATATGACACAACTCGGGAATATTGTGATACACATAGTACGATAGGCGATGAAGATATAACATTGCTGGGTAATTTAGCAATCTTGTTAAAGTTTTCTTTATAGATGTTATTTCTACAGTAAAAACAATGACAAAACTGTACTTTTGTGACCATTTGGACGAATGCCCAACTACAGGTATTTATGAGCAACATTGTAAACAGTGCTATAATTTTCACTGTACACGAATACATTCACTTCCATATTTTTTATTGCACACGAATTAATTCACTGCCATTTTATTTGTGCATTGATAAATTCACATTTCGCTTCTCTATTGATTTATATTAAATATTATGTTTATTTGCAAGTCATAATACTGTCAAATTTATTTGTACGTGGACATATCTAATGTAATTTCTATAATACATAAATAATTATGTTACTTTAATTTTAGTTTAAGATTAATATATTTACTTTCGTTTTTATTGTTTTAAAAAACTTACTATTATTTAAATTTACTAGCTTAGGTTTCAGTTATATATTTTTTTTCTCCTGGCACCCATATATGTGTTGGTAATAAATCCTTTCTGTTTCATTCATTTCCGTGGAGACAAGAAACCAGTGAACAGTTTTCAGTCGAGGATGTGGTGCCCGTCAGAAAAAAAAAAGAAAGAGTTCAACAAATTATTGATTCGGAACTTGAAAAGGCGGAACTCCATCAAATTGTTTAAAAAAGTATGGTAGCTATTGCGTCGATGACAATCGCATTGATTCTGTGGTTGTGTAGCTCAGCAATCAATAGAAAATATGGAAGCAAAAAAAAAAAACGTGCAGATAAATGACCAGAAACAGAAAAAGAAAATGTCACCGTTTTCTGTGAAGGTATTTTTATTACTATTTTACTATCATTCATTGTGAATTGGTATTGTCCAATAAAAAAATCATATTATAGTCCTCTGTTGCAGAAAGAATACTTTAATTAGCAAGATTGTACAGGATTCTTTTCCATTACCGAACAGTCTTTAAGAGTTATTATTACTACAGCGGAATACATTACCTATCTATCTAACAATCTGTCCATATAAAATGCACGAATATGGGTAATTAAACAAAGTTTGACATGAGATTCGCTGTTAAAACCACGTAAAGTAGTTTCTAGAATTATCGTATGGGTGATTTGACATAATTTTCCTAGACGCGCGCGCGCACACACACACATATATATATATATGTATAAATACATATTGCTTAAGAAAGCTACAAATATT